AAAAAAAAAAAAAAGAAAAGAGAGAAGGAAAGTGGAGTGATCATGCAGCCAGGGTTTTACAGTCTTGCTTAGTTTAATGGCAGGGGAGTTACTGGACAATGCTTTCTCACATGGACATTCCAAACTCTCTTTCCTGAATGAACCCCATTTTGTATTCTTCACGTCACTCTCTCTCTGAAAAGACACAAGTGTACTTCTCACAACTGCCTTACAATTGGCGCATTGTTCTTCACTGTTTCTGTGGAAAGCTGGAGGAGGCAGAGTAGTATGGTGGAAGGCACTTACTACCCTGGGAATCAGAAGGCCTGGCACAGCCCAGCTCTGGGGCCTCGAGCCAGGCACCTCGCCACTTTCACCCAAGAATCCTCATCTGTAAAATGGGATATTAATATCTGTCCAGGCTTCCTTCCCAAGTTGTTGTAAAGATCTAAATAGGTGAAATAATATATATGGAAACACTTTGTAAGGGGTCAGGTTGCTCTGCAAATAAAGGTAATATTACCTTTTTGGTTGAACTATTCATTCAGCTGAGAGACGCCATTGGCAGATAGCATAGCCCTGTTTCCTGTTAATAAGTGCTGTGTACAGAAAGGTGATAACAGTGTTCCTTTCTTGTTAGTAGTATTCTGAAGGCTCAGGAAGCTGGCCTGTTCAGATGTTCATGGCCCATGAGAAAGGCGTATAAGAAACCATGGCACTCCCTTTTCAAAAAGAGTTGGAGAAATATAAGAACATCGATGAAGATGAGCTTCTTGGCAAACTCTCAGAAGAGGAACTGAAACACTTGGAAAATGTTCTTGATGACCTAGATCCTGAGGTTAGTAACCTGGAACTGAGGCAGCGTGGTTAATGATAGTATGGGATAAATGGCGTGGTGTGATCCTTACACAATCGTGTAGAAATAAATCCCTTAGCTCCAAATGCAAATTCTGGGTTCTTCCCCTAATTGGCTCTGAGTCACTTTTATACATTTCTTCAGAACCTCAATAGCCACATCTATAATATGATATGGCAACTATGTTTCTTAAAAACAAATTTAATGTAAATGGGGCAAAAGTTTCCGTTGGTTAAAGAAGGACTAGTCTGACGTTGGGAAAAAGAAAAGAAAGAGGGAAAGGGAACAAATCTTACCCAGTTTCTTTTATGAATCACACACTCTGCTGGGCACAGATGCCCCTGTGGTAAATTGTATTATCCCCATTTCATAAATTAAAGCACAGACTAGGAGAAGTAATTGACCTAAGATCCCATACTAGTAAATGTCAGAGGTGGTATTTAAATCAGGCCTTTAACCCCAAAGGCAGATCTTTTTTCATATCTCGTTTCTTTAAAATGTATAAATAACTTGAAATTTTTGGTGATCCCACAATAGGAAGATTAGAATAACTGTAACCATAATATCAAGTAAGTTTAAATGGAGCTTCTAATAATTTTATGAGCTCTTGAAAAGCTAAGTAGCTTGTTATAATGCTTATTTAGCAAGCATTTTCTTCAGCCCTGCTGGTATTATCTTAAACTTAGAATCAGAGGCATCAAAAATAATGATTTTACTATAAATAATTATGCCACTAAAAGTTATTTATATGATATTCTGATATGCCAGATACTTTGACTATTGTGTTTACTTTAAAAAATACAAATTTCCTGTATTTATTTTTTAAACTTAAGGAAGGAATCTCTAAGCTTAAGCAGATATCAACATCTACCATAATATTTACTTACCTACTTGGATGTTTCCTCAGGAGAGGGATTAGAAATACGAGAGTGTAGCCATATTGGCTCCTTTTTAGAGTCTCCGTATGCCTGCCTGGGAGCACCTTGGGTACAGACCTAGCCAAACCTAAGTGGAATCTATGAGGCTGTGAAGGGTGGCTGGCCCTTTGTCATCACATTCTAGAAGGCAGCTGCAGAAGACCCAGAGGCTGTGCCAGCCATCTATGTTTTGCCTGCACTCTTGGGAGCCCTCCTCTTAGCACCAGATGTTAGACCAAGTAGGGCCTCAGATATGCCAGGGACTCCTGCCCTCACCTCACACCCACATCCCACATCTGTGCACTGGTACTCTCCTCCATGCTTCCCCCATATTCAGCGGGGGGAAGGGTGGGGGGGACGACAAAGCATCAGTTGGCTGACACCTTCCTTCCTGCTCACACCTCTGTTTTGTCAGAGCGCGCTGCTGCCAGCTGGATTCCGACAGAAAGACCAGACCCAAAAAGCGGCCACTGGCCCATTTGACCGCGAGCACCTCCTCATGTACCTGGAGAAGGAGGCTTTGGAACAGAAAGACAGGGAAGACGTTGTACCCTTCACTGGAGAAAAGAAAGGTAAGGACCATGTCCTGGGACAAAGGTACTCCGATGTGTTTTCATGGAGGGCCAAGCTAGGGAACTGACCTGGAAGGGGGAAATGAGCCCATGCCCTGGACTCAGTATTAAAAACAATCATGGCTGATGGATACGTGTCAGTATAGACATTTGTCCAGACCCACAGAATGTACACCACCAAGAACGCGCCCCAATGTAAACGATAGGCTTTGGGTAATAATGTCAGTATAAGTTCATCTATTGTAATAAATACCCCTCTGTTATGGCATGTTGTTAGAGGGGCAGTGTGGGGCCAGGAGTGTATGCAAACTCTCAGTACTTTCCTCTGTGAGCCTAAAACTGCTCCAAAAAATACAATTTATTAATTTTAAAAGAAGAATCATGATAGAATATGGGGGCTAATTAAATGAATACTTAAAGTGTGATGGTACTCAAATTAGTTCTGTAAAAACATCTTAACTCTCAAAGAAAACGTTTTGGAAGTGTGAAGTAGTGTTGTGCCTGAAAGAGGGTCCCATAGCCTCAGTGTGTTTCCCTTAGCCCAGTACTGTACCCGCTGCAGAAGTCTACTCCATGTCAAGGCATTGGCTCTGTTCCCTTAGATGCTACCATTAGAGGCCAGTGCAGTCGATCATTCATTCATGCAGCATTTTCCAGGCACTTCCTCTGTGCAGAGCCATGTGCCAGGTACTGGGCCCACAGTGAGTGAGACCCCGCCCTGCCCTCAGGCAGCTTGTGGTCTAGTGAGAGAAACACTGTGACAGACCTGGGAAGACTCTGAGGAGCAAGTTCTGATCTCACTCCATGCCAGGAGCAGGCTCAGAACTACGAAGGAAAACCCTCCTCCTTAGCTCCCAACCCTGAACCCCTCTGGAGGAAAGTGGATACTGATCGCCTGTCCAGTTCCTTAGCTATACAGCGACTTGGGCCCATAGGTGCTAACGGAATCGTTGATAACCTCATGGCAACCACAGGCTTTTTGAAGCACAGATCAGACCATGTCATTTCCCTGCTTATGGCCCCAAATCCTTACTGTGGTCCTCACAGTCCGAAGAGAGCTCGCCCCGCCCACCTCTCTGACTACCCCTCTCCTTCCTTCGCTGAGCCTCAGCCCCAGGATCTGTGCTCAGTTCCCCAAGCCTGTTGAGTTCTTTCCCCACCTCAGGGTCCTCTTCTCGTGGACTCTTCCTTCTGACCCACATCCCCATTTTTTACATTGTAACTCTCAGCTTAAATGTCAGGGCCCCAGCTTTCCCTGACCTCTCTGTCTAAAATAGACCCCTTCTTTCTGTCCTGACACTCATTTACCGCTTTCATGGCACTGTGACAATGTTCATGTTCATCCTTTCGTTTACTTACTCTGCATTTTGTGTGTTTTTCACATTAGATTGAGATCTCCACAGTGGACCTGTGTCTCTCTTGTATCCTGGCACAGAAACTGACACAGGGGGAGGCACTTGATAAATATGGACTCAAACGAATGCCATCTCTGAGCTTCCGCAGCAGGGCTGTGGGGAGTAGGAGGAACACGGCCCCCCGGCTGGCATGAGTCAGAGCACCGCTCCCTTCTCTTACAGAGCATCCGGGCTCTCCCTTCCACCATGCCCATTCAATGGCTCATGCACCACTGATAATGTCATTTTATTAAGAAAGTAAAATTGAACAGTGACAAACTGGGCAAATAACCAAGGATTACTGTAGAAATATGGAACTCTTTCTATGGCAGCATAGTCGCTATTGGACTAGTTTAATTGTGAAAGAAAAAATAAATTATGTCAAATCTTTAATAAAATCCCAATTAACATCCAGTATTAGGGTAGTGACAGAACAAATAAGAGGAAAGCTGTTGTCTTCTGTTCTCAAAAGTAGAGATCTTAGGAGCAGCTCTGGTAAATTACCTCTCGATCCACGTTCATCTCTAGATGGTTCCTTGGGGGTTAGGAGTGCAGGAACAGTCAGAGCAATAAATGTGGATACAAAAGGGGTATACAGCTGCACAGTGTAGCTTTGGAGAAAGTTGAGAAACAACATGATTGAGCAAAATGAGCAGAGAGCAAGTCTCGAAACAGAGCAGAGGAATGGGGTGAGGAGTCAGCAGGGCCCCAGGAGAGACCAACAAATGATCCAGAAGCCGTGGGAGGCTATTGTGAAGGCCTCAGGAGAGGGGCCACATAACCTCAGGTCTGAATGCCCCGTGCCCTGGGCCCTCAGTTCCTGGGCTACATTAACTCTCCACTGTAACTTTATTCACGTAGGACTTCTTGTTTGGTTGGACCCCCACATGGATGTGAAGCAGCAGTTGTCCTGAGTACTGATAGCTGTGGGCCACCTGTGCACCTAGCATTTACAGTAATCCTAAATAGTACCAGGAATTAGGAATTCAGAAATCCTATTTTGACTCCATTTTGACTTTAGACCCAAGATCGTCTGAGCCAGAAAGAAAATGCTTCAGGCTGAAGGCACTGTGAAAATTAAGTCTTGGATGAGCCCCAGTGTCTGAGATGTTATTGATTGGTTGGTCTTTTCTTTTTTTTCTTTCTATCTTTTGGCCATTCTCCCATTTTGTTTCACAATGTATTTTCCTTCTTTCTGGGAAACGTGGCAGCTTATATGATGGGCAAAGGTGGAAACCCTATGACCAGAATACCCCAGCATGACCACAAGCAGTGGTGCCTCTTTGGGGTGTCCAGCTCTGCCTGGCCCCTGTTTCCTTATCCAACCATTTGAAGCTCTGGTAAATTCTCAGGAAGCATGCAGCCCCAGTAACCAGGGACGTCTCCTGGAGAGTTTTCATGAGGGAGCGGTACTGTCTTTGGGTTTGACCCTTTCCTTTCCCATGGGAGTGGGGAAGACCAGGCTAGCCAAGGAGACCTAAAAAAATCTTGGGTCTCAATTGGCTGAATCTAGAGTCAGCTATCTCTTCTACCCAAGTTGGCAAAGAGGGAAAGCAATAGAGGGGTGAGTTTTTAGGGAACTCCAAAGATCAAAATGGAGGAGACCAGTTTCAGAGATATTGCCAAGAAGGGAGAGCAGCTCCAAAAAATAGAGACCAAGAGTTAAAGCTGGAAAGAATTGGAAAGAGTGTGAGTAGGTGTAGAGTGTTGCTGTTGTGGCCCTGGAGTGTTATGAGCCACTGCCCGTGTGGCATGTGGGTGTGCTAGCCTGGTTGGAAATTCGGAGCAGGAAATGTGCCACCCTCCCAGCAATGTGATCATTAGCCAGAGGTTTGGGTTGGAGTTGGGGTGGGGGGTGTTGCTATCGGCATATTCAGAAGGGACTAGGGGCCAAAATAAATGGAATCTGACTGACAGGATGAAGTAGGAGGTGGTGGCAGAGAATGCGTGTGTGGGAAGCACCGAGTGCCCTGCTGCTCAGCCCTCCACAACTCTCAGTACGACAGCCCTGATGTTTTCCTTTAAATCGGGCTTACTTTGGTATGCTCTAGAGAGGTGGATGCGTCCCCAGGTCACTACCTCGTCAAGTGACCCTAGATATGGCATCCTAGTGGTCTACAATCTCAATTGGTGGGAAGAAAATGCTGGACGATTACCAGTTTGTCCCTCAGGAATCCCGGGGGCCATTTGGATGAATCTGACCCGAATCTTTGCGGGGTCCAAGGCAAGAACACAAGTAGAAGCCAATGTGCCATAGTTTATAAATATTTTGAAGATAACAAATTGTCAAAATGTGTTCTGTGCTTTTACAAATATGTCTAGGCCGGTACTCTTGGACTTCCGAGAGTTCCATACAGGGATGTGTGTCTGTCCTACACTGCTGGGACCTCAAGCATACATGGTCGATACCCCAGCCTACATAGCCAAGTTCTGTGCATACTCACCCACAAACACCCTCCCCTTGGCCTGGGGGTGCACACCCCAGAAGTGTGACCTGCCTTCAGGAGGATGGGCATGGGGAAGGGACTCATGCAGACCCTGGAAGCAGAGCAGTCCAGGGTCTCAGGGACCTGGGATGTGGGCTAGCAGCAGCCTCTGTTCTGGATGCAAATGTCCTTTGGTCACATGACTCTTCCCTCAGTGGGGCAGAAGCCGTGTGTGTTGAGAGCGGGTGAGTGGGCAGCCAGAGGGGACCAGAGTTGGGCCCTCTAAAGTGCGGGGTTCATGACACAGCCCCTGTCGCCAGGTCTAAAGGCAGTGCTGCTGATTGATGGGAGGGAGGGAGGACGGGCCCACCGTTTGCCTCTGTGTTTAAGGACTATAGTCTCCTCAGATCTCCATGTTGCAGAATGCAGGATTCCTCCTCTGACCTTCCTTCCCTTTAATTGTGAATTATTGATATTGGCATCATCCTAGCATTAAGGAATCCTAGCTGGATGTGCAGTGGCTCAATGACTCAGTTCTTCATGGCCAGAGCTGCATTCTCTCGTCAGTCCATTTACCCTACAATTAGGCAGCAGCACACAACGGTTTTTGTTGTTTTTTCTTATTTAAAGGGAGAGTCTTTATCCCCAAAGAAAAGCCCATAGAAATTCGTAAAGAAGAAAAAGTGACCCTTGACCCGGAACTGGAAGAAGCTTTGGCCAGCGCCTCTGACACTGAACTCTACGATCTTGCAGGTTAGTCCTCAGCTCTGGAACGCTTTTCTGTCTGGCTCTGTGACCTCCAGGCTGGCACCCATGGCAACAGCCTTGGAGCTTCTTCCTACCTACAGATTATTACTGTAATGCCAGGTGGACCTCAGCCGTTATGTAGCTGTAAGACTGATGCAGGTGACAGCCTCCCTGTGCAAACATTCTGCTGTACTTCAGTTGCAAAATGCCACAATAATACCCATCCTACAAAACTCAGGAGTTTGAGAAATTAACAAGAATAAAGATGAAGGAGTGTTGAGAACTTAATAAAATAGCAGCTCTAACGCTTCCTCAGGAGCTTTCGCATTTGACATTTTACTGTATTTTATCCTCACAAAATCTCCATGAACTTCTTGTTCTTCCCCGCCGTCACCATTCCACTTTCACTCCCACTAAAAGGTCTATTAGCCTAACTATGGAGCAGGAGTAATTTTCTGTTACGTTCACCCAGTAAGGTGAATCCATCTTCAGCCCAATCTCATTTTTTTCTAGTTTTCTTAAAAATAGCAACACTATATTAATTATTTTTATTATTATTTGAATTGGTTATACACACAGAGAGAAACAGCCCAAATAGTACAAAAAAAATATGTAATGAAAAGGAAGTGTCTCACCCTGATTACTTGAGCTCTTCCTGTTTCATGTCTATCCTTCCGGAAAGATTCCATTCACATACCAGCATATTGGTGCACGAATGGGTTTTTTTCTGAATGGGATGGAAATTTGGATTTTTAGGGTCATTAGGTCCCTTCAGGAGAGAGATGCTTTAAAAAACAATCCACAGCTTTAGCAAGAATGATCACGTTTGTATTCCACGGGGAGAAAAATGTTATTATAATCTCCTTCCTCCCAGTAGTACCAGCTATACCTTATTCATGCAATAGCATGCAAACCATTTCAGCTACATTTTAATTGCTCTGTAATAATATCAGTGGTCAATATTAAGTTCACATATTTGAACCCCTCTTGGAAGTCACTGCAGGAGTTGAGGTACCTGCGTCACCAGTTAAGAAGGTGCTTTGTACAGTGACCAGTCTTCTTAACCCTGTGGTTGCTGTGCAGGGCTCCTCCCAAGGGCTGCCTCCTGGTCTCTGCTAGAATTGCCCAAAGGGAGAATGCAGGGCTGGACTTGAACTCCCAGTAAAGGCCTAAGACAGGAGGAAGAGAAAATCACCCAACATTTGGAAGATACTAGATTCTGAAATTTATACCATACAATCAGGGAGATCATCCCAATAGAAAACTGTTGTCATCTTTACTCAGCCTCCTTCCCTTGTCAGGTGCTCCCTCAGCACTCAGGAGGAACCTGGCTGGGGGTAGGTGGCAGCATCTGCTCTGGAGTGGCGCTCTCTGGAAGATTAAGAGCAGCTCCATGAGTGAATGGGCTGCCAGCCCTTAAGGTTTAGAAAAGAAAGAGTATCAAAACCCTGCCCATGTTACTGTGGAAGACCAAGAGCAGAAAGACAGTTCATCAAGTGCAGCAGTTGCCCTCCAAGACAGCACCTCCCAGAGTGGCCATATCTCAGTATGGCCTACTGAGTCAGTATGGTCACCCAGAGTCTACCGTGTTACCCTAAATATAAGACCTAACTGGAAAATTAGCCCTAGCATGATTTTCAGAGTGCTCATAATATAAGCCCTACCCCAAACATAAGCCCCAGTTAAGATCGTCAGCCAGACATGACCGTTTGAATAAATATAGATTTTTGTACACAGCTTGGGGCCAGGTGTTGGGGACTGACCCACTATCTAGATTCATAGGAAACAGATAAAACAAAAATGAAAACTCGGCGATGGGAGCCAGATTACTCAGAAGTTACTGAGTGAGTGTGGGGCCAAGCAAGGCATGTTCGTTGGATGGTCCCAGTGGCCTGTCTTTATCAAATAGGGCATCTTCTCCCTAGACAACTTCAGAAACACAAGGACAAATTCTTATTTCTTTAACAAGAATCTGTAAAGCACTTAGAACAGTGCTTGACACATACGAAGTCATTTAATCTTTGTAATAGATCATCATTATCCCTATTTTACAGGTAGGGAAACTGAGGCTCAGAGGCTGTTAGTAACTTCTCAGGTGACACAGGTAGTACATGACGGAGTCAGGATTCGAACTCTGGCTGACTGCTCCTGAGTGCCTCTCTTAAACCTCTCTTAAACCCTGGACTTGCCTGCCCTAAATATTTGTCCCATCTGCTGGTGTGCTGGCCTGCTTCCTCCTCCTAATGCGGAGATTACGGTACAGCTGCTGAGGAGCTCAGAGGTGTGCCTCTGCCGCCTGTTGACAGATTATCTATTCTGGGATCCTTCACCAGGTAGCCACCTGTAATTTCTCACCTGTAATTTCGTTAGCAAAGGGAAAGCTGGGTGGGCACTGGCAGCTTCAGCCTGCCAGTGTTCATGTTCCCCCCCAGTGCTGTTTCTCGCATACTATGCTGCCTCCTGGTGCAAGCTCCGTGTAATACAGGAGACTCAAAATCTCAGCATGCTTATGGGACCTTTTTTGTTGCTGACATCTTGGTCTTTTATTTCCTACCCTGGGAGGCTCTAGACAGGGAAAGGACAACTCCTTTTGGTGAGGCTTACATAGAAAGAGGCCCATGATCTTTCTGCTCTTAGCCTCTGGAAAGAATACATGTTGTCATCTATATAATGTTAGATCTTAAAATATCCTTAGATTCAGTCCTACCCTCACATTTTACAGATGAGAGCACTGAAGCGTTGAATCTACTTCATTAGGAGGTCTCAGCAGGTTTTCAGTAATTTGGGGACATTATTAGACCATTGTCCCTCAGATCCTAAATGATTCCAAGTGTATAGATGTAGAAAGACCTGTGAAGATTGCTGGTAGTCTTGGAAGGAGGGGTTTTTATAAGCTTATTTAATTCAATACATGTGCCCCACACCATACAAGGTAAGGGGGTCTAGAGATTTATCTTTATGATATGAAAAATTGTTCCTCAAGGGGCAAATTAACAATGTGGACATCCCAACATGCTTTCCCAAAACTAATGTTCATTCACTGATTTTCTCTGCTTTCAGCTGTCCTTGGAGTGCACAATTTGCTCAATAATCCAAAGTTTGATGAAGAAACAGTCAACACTAAAGGTGGCAAAGGGCCTGTGAGAAGTAAGTTGATGTGGAATCTGTGGTCTGTGAGACTTAGGAGCCTCCAGGTGTCACTGGGAGGAGAGAGGCCTGTTGACCAGGCCTCCTAGTGAGTCTGTACTTCTGTCCTGCAAGATTTGAAAGTGGCTTTATCAGTTCTCCAAGGATCACTGGGCTCTGAGCAATCAAACCAGAATAAAGTAGCTGATAATGGGAGCTGTGTCAGGCGGTGTAATGAGTAACAATCAGTTGTTTTGTCCAAAACACACTCTCTTAGTGGCTCTGCTCAGGCAAAAGATAAAATTGCTAATAAAAAGGTTTCATAGTCAGAAAAGAATGCAAACAGAGTTTCATGTTCCTAAGATATTTTAATCAACTACAGTATCTTAGATAAGTTCTCTTCTCCATTCGAGTGTCTTTTTGTCTCAATAATGGATGCTTGTCGTTAGAATTTGAATACCCACTTCCCCCAAGAGCATGAAAGACACACTGGCATGGAATTGCTGGCCCACAAAGTCCCAGACTACTGTCTTCTATGTCACCATTTATTGGGGATGTGTACAGGTCACTGGACTCTTTCACTTACGCATCAGTCATCTACTAAATACCATACTATGCGTTGGAGTGTTCTAGACTTAGATACAAAGATGGTCCCTGCCCAAAGGAACTTATCTATCTGTGGTAGGGATGGACCAATAATCAGACAATTTTGGTACAATGTGATCCAGGTGCTGTGAAAACTCGCCGAAGATCACAGCTTTTCTAAGTTTAATCATATTTTATTCTCTTTGATGGAAACTTGGGAAATGCTTTCTGGTCTCAGCAGCATATTAATAAATCATGATTTATACTGGGTAATTTACCCAGACAATGAGCAATATTTCTTTTATTTTCTTTCTGATTTTTTATGCATACAGATGAAAAATGTTTATCCTTTTTAAGTTCAATGTCAAAGGGTAACATTCTGACATGTTTACTAGTAAAAGTCTGGTGCATAACCTTATGGGCTTTTGTACATACACATGCATATCATTAACTTTTTTTGAGATGTTATTTTTTTAGCGCAGTTTTAGGTTCACAGTAAAATGGAAAGGGAGTCACAGGGATATCCCATATACCCCCTGCCCTTTCACATGCATAGCCTCCCCCATTATCAATATCCTGTGCCAGAGTGGTACATATGTTACAATTGATGACCCTGCATTGGCATATCATTATTACCCAAAGTCCATAGTTTATATTAGGGTTCACTCTCAGTGTTGTACATTCTACGGGTTTGGACAAATGTACGTATAATTACATGTATCCACCATTATAGTATCATACAAACTGTTTCACTGCCCTAAAAATCCTCTGTGCTCTGCCTATTCATCTTTCCTCCCCTCTAACCCCTGTCAACCACTGATATTTTTATTGTCTCCATATTTTTTTTTTAAGATTTTATTGGGGAATTGGGGGAGGGGAACCAGCCAAGTTTTTGTCTTTCAATCTTAGTTGTGAAGGGCGCCAGTTGCCATCTGGCTTCCCGTTGGCAGCTCGTGGCCTCTAAGCTCAAGGTGCTGTGTTCAATCTTAGTTGCTGGTAGGCGTAGCCACCATCCCATGCGGGAGTCAAACCAGCAGCCTTGTTGTTAAGAGCACATGCTACTTCAACTGAGCCATCCGGGCAGCAGCTCAGCTCAAGGTGCCGAGTTCAGTCTTAGTTGCGGGTGGGCGTAGCCCACCATCAAACAGGCAATCTTGTTGTTACACCAGCTGAGCCATCCTGCCACCTGTTGGCAGCTCAGTGACAGCTCAGCTCTGGCACAGCATCACTGACCCATGTGGGTATTGAACCGGCAGCCGTGTTGCTCAGAGCTCACGCTCTTAAGCCAACTCTTTACCCACTGAGCCACTCGGCTGGCCCCCTGTCTCTATATTTTTGCCTTTTCCAGAATGTCATATAGTTGGAATCATACAGTATGCAGCCTATTCAGATTGGCTTCTTTCCCTTAGTAATATGCATCTAAGGTTCCTCCATGTCATTTCATAGCTTAATAGCTCACTTCTTTTCACTGCTGAATAATATTCCATTACCTGGTGTACCACAGTTTACTTATCCATTCATCTACTAGAGGACATTATGGTTGCTTCCAGGTTTTAGCAATTATGAATAAAGCTGCTATAAACATCTGTGTGCAGGTTTTTGTGTAGACATAAGTTTTGATATTTGGATAAATATCAAGGAGCATGATTATTGAATCATGTGGTAAGAGTATATTTAGTTTTATAAGAAACCATGGAACTGTCTTCTAAAGTGGCTGTGCCATTTTGCATTCCCACCAGCAAAGAATGAGAATTGCTGTTGCTCCACATCCTTGTCAGTATTTGGTTTTGTCATTGTTCCAGATTTTTACCGTTCTAATAATAGGTGTGTAGTGGTATCTTGTAGTTTTAATTTGTATTTCCCTAAAAATATATGATGTGGAACATCTTTTCATATGTTTATTTGCCATTTGTATATCATCTTTGACAAGGTGTCTGTCTGTTAAGGTCTTTGGCCCATTTTTTAATTAGGTTGCTTTCTTGTTGTTGAGTTTTAAGAGTCCTTTGTATATTTTGGATAACAGTCCTTTATCAGATTTGTCGTTTGCAAACATTTTCTCTAGTCTGTGGTTCATCTCCTGATTCTCTTGACAGTATCTCCTTCAGAGTAGAAAGTTTTAATTTTAATGAAACCCATCCTATCAATTCTTTCTTTCATGCATCATGCCTTTGGTGTTATATCTAAAAATTCATCTCCAAACCCAGGTCATCTAGGTTTTATCCTATGGTATCTTCTAGGAGTTTTATAGTTTTGCATTTTACATTTAGGTCTGTGATCCATTTTGAGTTAATTTTTGTAAAAGTGTAAGTTCTGTCAGCATTCATTTTTTTTTTTTTGCATGTGGATGTCCAGTTGTTTCAGTTTACATGTGGATGTTCCAGTTTTTTCATTTGCTGAAAAGACCATCTTTTCTCCATTGTATTGTCTTTGCTGTTTTGTCAGTTGACTGTATATGTGGGTCTATTTGGGGGCTATACTCTGTTCCATTGATTCTTTGCATATTCTTTCACAAATGCATTGAGGTCGTGTAGTGTCAGTCCTCCAACTTTGTTCTTCTCTTGCAATATTGTGTTGGCTGTTCTGGGTATTTTGCTTCTCCATATAAACTTTAGACTTAGTTTGTTGATATCGACAAAATAACTTGTTGGGATTTTGATTGGGATTTTACTGAAGCTATAGGTCAAGTTGGGATGTACTGACATCTTAACAATATCAATTCTTCCTGTCCTTGAACATGGAATATCTCTCCATTTAGTTATTTGTGTTTTTTTGTTTGTTTGTTTGTTTCAGAAGAGTTTTCCTTATACCAATCTTATACAGATTTTGTCAGGTTTATACCTAAGTATTTCACTTTTCACTAACTTTTTTTTACTCTCCCAAAAACTATGTACCAGCTTACATTTCCTCTAACAATATATGAGGATGCCTTTTCCTCCACATTATTGACAACCCTGAATGTTGTCATATATACATATATATATATATATATATCATATATATATATGATATATGATATTGTCTTTTAAGTATACATATATATATATATTTGTTAATCAAATGGCATCTCATTTTTTTATTTTAGAATTTAAGGGTTTTTTTATACTTTTTAGTTGGGTGACAGAAATTCTTCTGATCATATTACTTGTTTGTTTTTAATTGGGTTGTCTTTTGGTTTGTAGGAGCTTTGTGTATATTGAAATGTTAACCCTTTGTATGTTATATGTATTGCAAACATTTTCTGTTAAATGCTTTTGGGAATTCTTCCATTTTTCTTTTCCATTCCTTTCTCTTCCCATACCTTCCTGAAAACTAATACTCCACAGTGCAGTTCAGAGGAGGATGGGGTATGGCAAGAAAGCCAGAGAAGTATTAAGGTGTGGGAAATGAAGAGATTCAGCATTTCTTTTTTGCATCTCAGATCCTGGGATTTGATTATTATAGTCTGAAAGGCGTCTATATGGAGCAGCAATAAGTGACGAGGGATGTTCGTTTTTGGGTTTGAGTTTGTTGTAGGTTCTTCTGCACTTTTGACTCCATGCAGTGTCAGCCACTGAGACTTATTCTTATTGTGGTTGAAAAGCATCAACCTTTGAAACTGTAACTCAGAGCCATACCATTCCCATGCTTGCTTAGTTGAGAATAAGCTTGCTGTCATTGATATTAGAGTATTGTTGGAATCAGAGCATATGAAAGGAAGGTCATTTTGGGGAACAATTTTGACAGGAGAGCCCTTAAATTTTCTTTTAAAAATTAAAACTTGTCTCAGATGTGGTCAAAGGCGAAAAGGTCAAGCCTATATTTGAGGAACCACCCAATCCCACCAATGTGGAAGCAAGTCTGCAGCAGATGAAAGCCAATGATCCCAGCCTGCAAGAAGTCAATCTCAACAACATTAAGGTATTTCATTATGATTGTTATCAGTCACTTGATTTATCATGAGTTCAGAAAACAATGGAGATGATTGATTACCTGCTTTCACACCTATTTGCAATCCTTTGAGTCACTAATTTTGAGGCAAGTTATCCTACTCAAAAGAAGAAGTGGGTTTAAAAAAAGAGGGATTTCTAGAATTCTTTGAAAAGAATCACAGTAGTTATGTTAAACATAGTGTTCTGGTTATCTATTGCTAAATAGCAAATTACTCTAAATTTAGAGACTTAAAACAATAAACATCTATTATTTCTCACAGTTTCCGAATGTCAGGAATCAGGGAGTGACTTAGCTGAGTAATTGGGGGCTCAGTGTCTCAAAGAGGCTGTAGTGACTGGGGCCGGAGGATCTGCTTCCAAGATGGCGCACTCGTGTGGTTGTTGACAGGAAGCCCCAATTTCTTACCACGTGGCCCTGTCCATAGGGCTGCCTGAGTGTCTTCATATGACAGCTGGCTTCCCCCAAAGCGAGTGATCCAAGAGAAAGAGGGCAAGCAGGAAGCCACAGTGCCTTTTATAACCTATTCTCTGAAGTCACTTCTACTTTATTTTATTTGGCAGTAGAGAGAGGAAGAGTGTGTGTTTCTGTGTGTGTATGTGTGTGTGTG